AAGCTCTGGGAGATTATTACGCAATCCGCGAATATTAAATGAAATAAGCGATAGCCCTTTGGGCTTGATACGACCGTGACTTCTAGGCAAAGCAGAAGGCTCTGTCATTATAAGCTAAGTTAATTAAGTTAACTTAGCTTACAACGAACGCAATAAATTACTGTGTTCTGCGAGAGCCAAAAGCCGGTCCTGAGGGGACCGGGCGGCGCGCAGTTTACTCGCTAAAACCGAGATTTCGTTAATATCGATGTTCCTTATTGCGGCGTAAACCGTGTTAAAGTCATCGCCAATTGTCGACTGTTTCTGCTGCGGAGCAGAAAATACCTGTGGCGGTGGATCTACCTTTTTGGGGCCCCAGGCAAAAACTGGAGCCTGCATAGGCTTTGAGAAGCCCGGTGGTGGCCTAAGCGGTGCCTGCGGTGGCCTAAGCGGTGCCTGCGGTGGTCTCGGGGGCCCTGAGGGGGTCGTGCAAAGCCCTGAGACGGCTGAGATGCGCCCTGACGGGGCTTCCTAACATATAAGGCCGGGAATGAACGGTCATTTACCGGCGGTGGTGCCTGTCTTGCTATGCGCGGACGAGGAGCGCACGGGCATCCTCTGTAGCTCGCCGGGTGGCCTGTCTGTTGACACAGGACGCACGCGGGCGGGGATACGGCATCTTTGGGACACTCTTTGGTGATGTGCGGATCTAGGCACTTAACGCACCTGGGTGGGGCGGAGCAATTGGCCGCCGCGTGACCATACCGGTTTTGTTGGCGCTGAGCTATCTAACGCGGCAGCTCGGGCTGCAGGGACTGAGGCAGCGACGGAGGCTGCGGGGGAGGCGGGAGCGGCACGGGCCGCTGCGGCGGTTGGCGAACGGTTTTTAGCGGCGCGCTTTGACGACACCGTGGTGTAAGACGTGTTAGAGTTGTTAGAGTCACCGGTATCATCGGAGTCAGAGGACTCCGATGTCCTGGTGCTAGACTTTTTAGCAGGCCTCTTCCGGGAGGCAGATATTGACGACGCGGTGTCGGAGTGAGAGCACTCCATGTCTATTTCTAGCGGCGCGAAAGAGTTTCGAGACGCGAGGTAGTCCGCAATAACGGGCGGCGGTGCCTGAACGGCGGGAGGAGCCAGAAGGGCTGAGATGGCTGCTGTAAGAGCTTGGGGGTCATTTTGGAACCTATGGTATGCATCGCGCACGTAACCTTTAAAATTCTGCGAGGACATTTTCGTGTTGGGGACTACGTAAATATAAAATAATAAAAATGTAAAAAGTTAGGGGGACACTGTTCTGAAAGAACAATAAAAAATAAAAATAAACTATTTAAAACTACTAGTAGGGCGTGGGGGATCACCGCACTGAAAGTGCGGGACGTTCTTATTCTGAAACTCTCCCTCGTCCTCAAAAAGACGGGGGCTAAGTCAAGAAACAATATGACAATATACACGTTATATATACTACACATATAATTATAATAAACTACTAACATATACAGTACTAGTGTACTACAATATAAAAAGCGTTCAGTCAGACCTCCCCGACCTGAAGGCGGGGGGGTAAGAGCTGAGAGTTAGCGATGAGACACTCACCCGACTTCAGCGCTTATAGCGCCAACACTGAGAGGCGCGCGGGGCGCGCGGGGCGCGAAACTGGGGGGGCGCTAGCGGAGCGCACGCGGACTACCTGGTACACCCGCTCGAGAGCGGAGCCACAGGTGGAATGCTGACCCTAGCGGCCGGCCCGTCTTTTATATGATTTGGCCGCTGCTGGCCAGCGGACCCTTGCCTCACCCCCGCGCCTATCTTTATTTATTTAATAACCTTACAAACTAATAAACATAATTCACTATATAATATTCTTATAACTACTTGTTAGACTAGGGTGTACATATCAATATTTTTACTTATTTACAGGTTTACATTATAATTTTCAGCTGCTTTAGGCGGAGAATCCTTCCCCCCGCCTCAGCACTATAAATATAAAACGTCGTGGCGCGGTGCGCGTGGCTTCATTTGCTCCGCGGCCGCGTCACGATAACATGCTCTTTGGTTACACTACTACTATTATTTTATGTGCCTAACGGCCTAATATATTTATTATATAATAAAGTAAACATTTATTATATTTAACAATTACAGTTTTTCATTAGAAGCCTATGCTAACTCTCCCTGTTCATACGGTGCCTTTATTTGGGAGAGTTATTGCACAGTTACAACTCAACCTTAAACTTAGTTATAATACAATCATTATTTTTTATCGTTCGATACAAGTAATACAATTATTTACACAAATTATAATTTAAATTCAACATAAGGTTGCGCTAGTTCCGCCGTATAACCCTTGCTAGTTGTCGAACCAGAGGCGTGGCCTGATAATTACACCGTCGTCATGGCTCCGCCCACCGCTCCTAGGTTGTTCAACTAGCGCCGGTTACAATAAGCATTTTCTTTCGTTTGTTTAATATTGTTGCGTCGTGCACAATTTTCAATCAAGAGACCTCAAGATCTTTGTGACAGTTTTTATACGTGGTAGAGCCATGCTGCAGCTATATTAGTAGTATAGTTGTAGTACGAATGGGTCGGCTCGACCGGGGAAGAACCACGCTTTCACAGAATACCAGCGTAAAATAGCAGTTAAAAACTGCTATGTGTCGTATGGTGAGTGTAGAGAACCGGAGACCCTTTTTACTGGAAAAGAGGTATTCCATCTTAGTCCTCACGGTTGACAACGCATCTGCATTTTGATTCGAAAGCGAGGATAGATATATATTTCTATGGGCCACAGCAACCACTTACCATCAGGTGGACTGTGTGCTCGTTTGTCACCCTATCCTATATAAAAAAAAGTTGCATTAGTCAAGTTTTAAAACTTCCTCGGAATATAAGAATATATCGCCACCAGATGTAAATGTAATATTAAAACACATGTATCATCATTACAGCGTCCCCCAAAGAATGCCACAAAGCACGGTCCTGAGCCACCTGCATCCATCGATTTCCTCCATGTCTGACCAGGTCGTCACGACGTCCTACACTTCGTCCGCCATTACGACGGCCGCCACTCGAGAACCTTTTTTCCCCATCGGTTGTCGGTTCTTCGATCTATATGGCCGGCCTATTGCCACTTTAGCTTACTGATCCGTTGGGCAGTCACTCTGGTTCTACTGCGGATATCCTCATTTCTAAGTTTATCACGCAGAGAAACTCCGAGCATAGCCCTCTCCATAGCTCGCTGAACTTCCTTGAACTTCCTCATCCGGCCAGCAGTGAAGGACCACGTCTCAGTTCCATAAGCCATCACTGGTAACACGCACTGGTTGTACAGTCTCGTTTTTAAGTTTTGAGGTATACCTGACGAGAAGATGTGCCGTAATTTCTCGAACGCTGCCGAACCGAGTTGAATCCGTCGATTGACCTCTCGGTCGAAGTTGGACTTACCTAGTCGGACTATTTGTCCCAGGTTAACATAATCATCAACAACTTCACGATTAGTATATACTCCCAACAAATACCGGCATAGGTGTGACATGGACGTTATACGTGGTCCTTCCCCGGTCGAGCCGACCCATTCTTGCTACAACTATACTACTAATGTAGCTGCAGCATGGCTCTACCACGTATAAAAACTGTCACAAAGATCTTGAGGTCTCTTGATTGAAAATAGTATAACCAGCTAGTACACTTCGGGAAGCCGTATCATAATGTTGTGAATGACAAACATCCTATATGTAGCTACTTATAATTAAAAATGATAATGTTCTAATTATAATTTAAATCATTATCATGCTTTCAAAAAAATCTATGTCGTAATAATTAAAAACATAGAATTTATTTTTACAGTAGCTTTTATTGTTTTCATATTCTGGAAAAATCGAATACAGACTTTATTTCTTATCTGAATTACTTCATAAAAACTGTAATTATTTTGAATATTTTTATAGAATAAGGATAAAAAACGTGCACACAGGTCACTTGATGGTAAGTGGATGATGTAGCCCATAAACATATAAATCTATTTTGGAATAAGAATGAAAATGCAGATGAATTATTACCTCTGGGGACTAAGATGGAATGCCTCATTTCCAGTAAAAAGCATCTCCGGTTCTGTTGAGTACCGAACGTCTGACCATACGATTACACGTATACAAAGTAATTTTTCAGAGTAGCCAATTTTCATACTTAAGTTTAAATATACAAATAATGATATACAGTTATTGCAGTTTCTGGAAATACTAGTAAATAAGCGAATGTATGCGTGCGTAGTATGGTATAATGAAAAATAAATCTGCGTCCAACATTTGAATTAGAATGGTGTAGAAATGGTAAAATTTTTGCAAGGAAACCAAAGGCAAGTAAACTGAATAAGTATAGACCAATTACATTAACATCATCAATAGACGAAATAGCGGAAGATATATCAGTAATCAAATACATGAGTTCTATCAAAAAATTAATATTTTAAGCCCTAGCTAATTTAGTTTCAGGCCTAGTAAGAATTTCACAGATCAAGTTAATTCATGTATGAATTAGAAGCTACATGTTATAGCTCTATTTATTGTTTTTTCTTGTGTCTTTGATACATTCGATCATAATAAGCGGATTAGGAAGTTAGAAAATACAGGTATTCGTGGACCTCTTTCAAATTGGTGTAAGAACTAATAAAAACTATGGTGTTAGGATTTGTGAAAGTTACAGCACATCAGTTAAAGTTGCGTACTTGGACCATTTAACTTTATAGCCTATGTCACTGACATGAATAAAATCTTTAGATATTGTACTTACTATCAATAAGCTGATGATACGTGTATGCTTGTGGCTGCTAAGGATGCCAATGATGCCCTGTTTTTGTTACATGATGATTTTGATACATTAAATAAATGATACCATTTTACACAGATTTTAACAGTGGTAGAGCCAAGCGGTAGCTTTTGCTGTCGCACGGATGGGCCAGCTCGAACCGGGGTGGTACCACGACCTCACAGAATACCAGCGTGAAGTAGAGGTTTACCTCTGCGTTGCGTTTGGTGAGTGCAGGTGGCCGGAGGCCCAATTCCCCCCCCCCCCCCCCCCCCATCAACATGGTAGTGGAATTAAATACAAGACTACCCCAGGAGGGTACCAGCAACCCTGGAGAATCCCTCGCTGAGCATCCACGAACAAACTACTTCACTCCTGAGCGTGGGTGCTCAGGCTGCCCCGCGTATTCTGGGGGGGGCAAAATTCCGCTCGTGACTAATGCTGCTCGGGGCAAGCGGAGCAATACAACCAAGGCGACCCCTGTCACGCTATCCGTGAATTTTTGCAACATCAGGGGACTTCATTCCAACCTTAACGCTGTCCATTACCATCTAGAGACGGCGAAGCCGGCCTTGCTCTTTTTAACCGAGACTCAGGTGTCCTCTCCGGCTGATACTTCATATCTCTCCTACCCGGGGTACAAATTGGAACACTCCTTTGTGCCCCGGGCTGGAGTTTGTGTATACGTCAGAGAGGACATCTGTTTTCGACGCCTCGGCAGCCTTGAAGGTACGGACCTGTCCATCCTATGGCTGCGCGTAGACAGCGACGACCATCCCCGCGTCTACGGGTGCCTCTATAGGTCCCATAGCGGTAATGCCGACACAGACCGACTCATCGACCACGTCCAAATGGCTGCAGACTCCGTGCTACAACAGGTCCCATCCGCAGAGATCGTGATACTCGGTGATTTCAACGCCCACCACGCTGAATGGCTTGGTTCTCGTTCAACCGATCATGCGGGTAGATCTGTCTACGACTTTGCTTTGGCATATGGTCTAACACAACTGGTTACTTCGCCTACGCGGATCCCAGATGTGGAAGACCATGTACCTTCCCTGTTGGACCTTCTGCTGACCTCTCATCCGGACGGATATCAGGTCTCCGTCGATGCCCCTCTGGGCTCTTCGGACCATTGTCTGATCCGGAGCACAGTGCCACTCACGCTCCAATCGCAGTTGCGATCTACAGCTTGCCGCCGTGTTTGGCACTATAGGTCAGCTGATTGGGACGGGATGCGGTCTTTTTTTGCATCCTACCCTTGGGGGCGGGTTTGCTTCTCGCCGGAAGATCCCAGCGTTGTTGCCGATTCTGTTGCTGATGTGGTACTTCAGGGTATGGAACTTTTTATTCCATCCTCTGTGGTGCCCATCGGAGGCAGATCCCAGCCATGGTTTGGTCGCTCCTGTAAAATAGCATCACGCTATAAGCAGGAGTGCTACCGGGCCTGGGCTGACGCATCAACGTCTCGGGATTTAAACACCAGCGCACTTAAAAAGAAGTATAATTCCGCCTCCAGGTCCTTCAAAAGCGTCATTGCCAAGGCAAGGTCTGAGCACATCGGCAGAATTGGCGAGAAGCTAGTTCGCCTTCCTTCGGGAACCCGTGCATTCTGGTCTCTCGCCAAGGCTGTCCAAGGGAACTTCTGTCAGCCATCCCTCCCATCTCTGCACAGAGAGGACGACTCACTGGCCCATGCCGCAAAAGAGAAAGCCGATCTGTTGTGCTCTCTTTTTGCGTCCAACTCGACTCTAGATGACGGGGGGAACACACCGCCGACCATCCCGCGATGTGAGTGCTCCATGCCGGATGTGCGATTTACACAGCGCTCGGTTCGCAAAGCACTCTTCTCCCTGGACGTCAGCAAGTCGAGTGGGCCCGATGGAGTCCCTCCCATTGTGCTGAAGACGTGTGCTCCGGAGTTGGCACCGGTTTTAACGCGTCTTTTCCGGTACTCCTACTCCCAAGGCGTAGTCCCGAATTCATGGAAGACAGCTTTGGTCCACCCGATCCCTAAAAAAGGCGACCGCTCAGACCCGTCCAACTACAGGCCTATCGCCATCACCTCCTTGTTCTCCAAAATAATGGAATCCATTATAAACTGCCAGCTCATGAGGTACCTTGAGGATCACCAGCTGATCAGTGACCGTCAGTACGGTTTTCGTCGGGGTCGATCAGCAGGTGATCTTTTAGTTTACTTAACTCATAGATGGGCGGAGGCAGTAGAGTCCAAGGGGGAGGCATTGGCCGTTAGTTTGGACATAGCGAAGGCCTTCGATCGGGTCTGGCACAAGGCGCTTCTTTCGAAGCTTCCTTCCTATGGGCTTCCCGAGAAATTGTGCAAATGGATCACCAGTTTCCTTGCTGATCGGAGCATCAAGGTCGTAGTAGACGGTGCATGCTCTGATTACAAGCCTATCAACGCTGGTGTTCCACAAGGCTGCGTGCTATCACCAACGCTGTTTCTCCTGCATATCAATGATATGCTGCTAACTGGTAGCATTCATTGCTATGCAGACGACAGCACTGGGGATGCCTTATATACCGGCCGTGCCAATATTTCTCGGGAAAACGTCGCCGAGTACCGGGACAAACTTGTGTCTGAAGTCGAGTCTTTGCTTAACAAAGTCTCGGATTGGGGCCGACTAAATCTAGTCCAGTTCAATCCCCAGAAGACACAAGTTTGCGCGTTTACCGCTAAAAAGAACCCCTTTGTCGTATCTCCTCAGTTTCAAGGCACACCCCTTGCTGCCTCAGCCAGTATCGGAATCCTTGGCGTCGACATATCGAATAGCGTGCAGTTTCGTGGTCACTTGGAAGGGAAGGCCAAATTGGCCTCTAAAAAGCTTGGCGTGCTCAGCAGAGCGAGACGGTATTTCATGCCGGCACATCGCTTGCAACTTTACAAAGCGCAAGTTCGGCCCCACATGGAATACTGTTCTCATCTCTGGGCCGGGGCACCCCAGTGCCAGCTCCTTCCACTTGACCGCATCCAGCGCAGAGCGATTCGAATCGTCGACGACCGAGTTCTTTCCGATCGGCTCGATACACTGGCACTGCGTAGAGATGTTGCATCTCTTTGCGTATTTTATCGCATCTATCACGGGGAGTGCTCTGAGGAATTGTTCGGACTAATTCCAGCCGCTCAATTTCACCATCGCACGTCGCGACAAAACTCGCGTTACCATCCATACCATCTGGATGATTGGCGGTCCACCACTGTGCGATTTAGAAGAAGTTTTCTCCCTCGCACAACTTCTTTGTGGAATCAATTACCACCAGCGAATTTTCCGAACCGATACGACTTAGGAACCTTCAAGAAAAGAGCTTACACCTTTCTAAAAGGCCGGCAACGCATCTGCAATTCCCCTGGTGTTGCGGTTGTTCATGGGCGGCGGTAGTCACTTAACATCAGGTGAGCCGCATGCTCGTTTGCCCCCTATTCTATAAAAAAAAAAAAAAAAAAAAAAAACCATGTCACCGGTTTGATAATAAATTCTCAAAAGACGACATTTTTCTATATACGCTCACCGAACAATAAGTCTCTTAGCATATTATACCATAAAATCATTGCGCATAATCATTATCGTCTTCACGAACCTCAACTTAACTGCAAGTTTTCCACGATTTAATTAGTTACATCACATAAATATCAAGGCTTAATTGTAGACCATAAATTCAATTAAGACGAGCATATAAAGCATGTATGTGATAACTTAGAGAATTTTTGGCGAATATGTTTATAAGTAGAAAACGAATAAACTTTTGAGTTAAAATGATGCTTTATATCGCTGTTGCTGATTCAGTCATTACTTATGGGCTAAGCGTCTACGGACGAACAGAGAAATCACACCTACATTACATTCTTCAACTACAACTACGAAAACAAATGAAAACTTTATATTTAAACACTACGAGGTACTCAATATCCATGGTAAAGCTCAATATCAATTGTTAAAAGAACATTTTTTTTAATTTTCGTATATAACATACAGTCTTAAAACAAATTCAGACCCACAAAGTAACTCAAAAAAATTAATTACAATACCATCCAAAAAATAAATATGGTGAGCGCACCAGCGCTTACATAATACCTCGCTTAATAAATGGTCTGTATAATAAATTTTGAAGTGTACTTAATGAAGCATAAATTGAAGTGTGATTTATTACCTTAACAAATATTAGTTGTTATCCCCATTTTTGTAAATGTAGATAAAACGGTACGCAACAAAAACGTTTTTCCCTGTGCCACATAGCAATATTGTAACAATTTTTATCTTCTAATAAAAAAAGCTGCGGTGTGGCTCTACGACTTGTGTTTTTCTTTTCTATAACTAGGATTAAGGGGTCATAATGTAAACTTTGTTACGTATTTAACGTATATTAACCTTATATATTTCTATTTCAACGCTAGACGACGACTTCTTTGTTATAGCAGAGACTACTGGTAAGGTATTTCTCTCACTGCAGTCAAGATACGAGTACCTTTAGCCGTAAGAAATCCTGACCAGTCTTGTGAGTCTGCTTGACTGACAGTGAGAGAACCCCATCATCTCAACTTGATATTATGTCTCTGTTCCTCTGTTACCTTAGATTTTACGGTGCACACATCCCGCACTTATCAAATTTATTTAAGTACACGGCGGCTGAAAATTCCGCGGGTTAAGGTACTTAACGTGAGTAATTAGCTTGTTACTCGTGTAACTAGTTGCAACACTCAGTAGTAATATAAAAGCAATCACTAATTGAGTTTGCACTCATAGTTCAATTATTTATTGAACAACAAACATCACCTTGTCAGCCGAATCTGGATATTCACGCAATTTTGAACACCGCGCCGTGATAAAATTACTCGTAAAGAAGGAAAATACACCGAAACACAATTTTGAAGAGATGTTATCAGTTCTTCAGGATTTTGCGCCTTCATATACGATGGTGAAAAAATGGGCCCGCATATTTCAACAAGGACGAGAGAGCTGTGAAAAAACCCTCGCTCGGGCTGCTCTATCACGCTACTGACTGAAGAAAATAACTGAAAAGTCGAAAACATCGTTCTGACTGACCAAAGAATTTAATTTTAGAACTGTAGATTAGCAAAAAAGTAGTTAAAAAGTTTTACAAGAACATTTAAATATGAGAAAATTAGCGCGCGTTGAGTACGGAAAATGTGATGATGCGACAAGCAACATCGACTCGCAAGTTGCAAACATTTTTTGGAGCTAGTTGGCGATAACAAGGAAGACATGGCAACGTTTAGTCACGGTAGGTGAATTGTGGATTCGCCGATATGATCTGGAATCTAAACTAGAGTCTATGCCAAAATAAAAAAAACAGAAAGGCCACCAAAGAAACTCAAGCTGGAAAAGTCAGAGTCCAAGCTAATGGCGACCCGAAGAGGTTCCCCTGGGTAGGTGGTCGATAACAACGATGAATAGCCAATATTATTCCAATTTATTAACTCAGGTTCGTAAAGATATTGTACAGAAACGACGCGGGGAAAATTATGTACGAAGTGCTCTTTCTGGAAGACAACGCGCTCATTTACACCGCACATGTTGCGAGGCAAGCCTTGAAAGGCACGGGGTTCTCAGGGATTGAGACCACTCTATCCCAGACCTAGCACCTAGCGATTTTAGGGTGACAAACGAACACACAGTCCACCTGATGGTAAGTGGATGCTGTGTCCCATAGATACCTATATTTATCCTCGATTAAGTATCAAAATGCAGATGCGTTGTCATCCCTGAGCGCTAAGATGGAGTGTCTGGTTTTCAGTAAAAAAGGTTTCCGCTTCTTTACACACACCATATGAAACACAGCAGCATTAAGCTGCAATTTTATGCTGATATTCTATGAGAGCGGGGTCCCATCCCGGTTGAGCCGACCGATTCGTATTACAATCATAATATAGCTGCACCATGGCACTACCACGTAAAAACTTTAGCAAAACTGCCTTCTAAACCAAGAAAATGCTAAAATGCTGTTTTGGTAACCGTTGCTATGGTAACTAAATTTATCATTTAATGCTACTACTACATAACATAGTTATTATTTTAAATTTTAATAATGGATGTTGAATTATCGTGCAATCAGCGAAGCGGGCGGGTTTCAGCTAGTTAGGTAATATTTGTAATATTTATTAAATTATGTAATGTATGTGTAATAATTATGAATATATTATTCTCGAAAACACTTATCGATTTGTAGCCGTGGTACATTGTTGATAAAATGGAACGGGGACTCATGTTTACTGACGAATATACGACTTTGGTATATGATACACGAGTAAAATATTCTTTTGCAAAGCGTTGCAATGTTCTCTAGACCGAATTTCGGTCACGGCGGGCAGTCTCAATGGAGACTCGCCAGCCACGCAAGATATGATTACAGAGCACAAGTGTGTTCGCATGCACAGGTGCACTCTGTATTCCCTCTCCGATTGGACAACAATCTGACTCGACCGAAGTGAGATCAGGTGCTTTACGTGCTTTCCGAGGCACTTGGTTCACCCAAGCTACACCTCCAACTTCCTGACTCCGGGTTGCTACTGAGAATTTCTTAACAGAAAAACCCAATCCGGTATTCGATCTAGAGACCTCATGATCAGCAGCCTCCAAAAATTGGTCTACTATACGACTAGCAACACTAAGGTCAACAGAATGTTCATATTTTTAAAAAAAAATTCAACTATGGAAAATTAATTATATAGTAGATATTTAATAAGTCAGTTATGGAATTGTCACTTCCCATAAACTAAGCGTGAACTGGCATTAAGAGGTGATCATTATAAATGGAGAGTAAGAGAGTTAATGAGTTTTTACCATACTTCAAGTTTAATATGTCTCTACAAGATGCAGAAGTGTACAAGCTAGAGAGAAGATTATAAATATGGTCTCTTTTACATAAGGCAAACCGAAAAATTTATAAAACCCGCGTAAATGTATATAATATCATAAATGACGTGAAATACGAGAGCGTCGGATCTGTGATCATATCCTAGACGATCCCCGCCATCAGATGACAAATCCTCACGAAAGAACATCGATTCCTATCAAGAATGATTCGTCCGCAAAAAAAAATTCTATAATAAATAAAAATATTAATTTAATAAAAATAAATAACAATATCAAAACACGTTTTAATTATATAAATTTATACCGGATGATTGTAGTACTACGAGTAACAACACCTTTGATGATGGGTCAGAAAGGAAATCGATCCCGAGGAAAAAAAAACATCTTTCCACAAAGTTTCATGTTAGTATAGTTGTAATCACACAATTCCCCACCTCTAATTCTTATGTCAAACAAATCTTAGTAGGTGAATTTCGGTCCAACATAGCATGTGGAAATTGTACAGCGCAAGGCGACACGAGTCGGCTGGGCGGCAGCGGCGCGTGTGTGAAAGGGAAGGGTAGAGTGAGTAGTAATATCTAATGCATTGTTTCGTACCGGGCCAGATAAAAGAGTTCGGCGTTTTTTTTAAAAAAAAAAGGAACTGTAACTAAGAAAATAATGTTTTAATTCTAACTAACCATATTAGACTAAAGATCGTTTAATTAATAACTGCACGAGTCTCCCTTGAATTTCTGGTAGATTTTATCAAATGTCTACCACAGCGTTACAGCGTATAAGAACAGAGAGGTTACAAGATGAAGGTGTGAAAGAGAAGTTCAAATGTAGATTGAGAGAAAATATAAGTGGTATGGCTGAATTGTGTATGAATGATTTAGACTTGGAGACTGTGTGGTATAATGTCAAGAAAGGTTTAGTGGATGCAGCTACCGAAGTATGTGGTGTAAGTAAAAGAAAGAATGAAAGGAAAAATAACACGTTATGGTGGGATGATGAGGTACGGATGAAAGTTGAAGCAAAGAAGAAAGCATGGCTAGATTTACTAGCAACCAAGGCTAGTAATTCTAGCAGTATGAATGATGATATTGAAAGGAAAAAGGCAGTTTTTAGACATCTAAATAAGAGAGTAAAAGAAGTAGTTGAAAGGAAAAAGCAAGAAAGAACGGATAAGAATGATAGAAGAATATCGTATAACTTCCAGGCAAACATTAAAATGTTCTGGAAACTCGTAAGAACTACCAGGGGACATTCACAACAGCCTAGAATGAATGCTATACGAGACCAGAATGGCTATATTCTAAATGACGAAGTTTTGAGTTTAAGGAGATGGAAGTAATACTTTGAAAGCTTGTTTATGAGTGATGAGATGCTTGAATTAAATGAAATAGAAATTCCGAAAGAAGAGGAAATAGATATAGATATAAGTATAGATGAAATAATGAAAGCTATGAAAAGTATGAAAGCAGGTAAGGCAGCCGGTTATGATAGAGTATCTCTCGAAATGCTAAGGGCTGGAGAAGGAGTGGTGGCAGACCTGCTGTACAACT